CCCTGCGTTGTCGGGCCTGGGGGGGGGGCACCACGGGACCCCCGGCTGGGCACATCTGTGTCCTCCACGTGCCACTGGCCCCTCCCCAAATGTGTCCCCACCGAGGCAATCCGGGGTCCCACGCCAGGTCACCGAGTCCATCGTCACCTTGTCCCCAGGGGGAACGGGGTCGGCTGTGGTGGGTGGGTGGGCGTCGCCCCCCAGTTTGGTGGTGCCAGGGGTGGGGCGTGGGGGGGGGAGGCTCAGTGATTGCTGCAGAGCTGCGGAGGAGGGGCCAACTCGTGAGACCCCCCGACGGTGATGCAACCCTCCCACTTGGCCATCTCCACCGGGACATCCTCTGGATACTCCACCAGGACGGGGGCGAAAGGTCCCACCAGCCAGGGCAGGGGCGTGTGCTGCCCCACGTACTCCAGCAGCTCCTCGATGCCCAACTGTGCCCGGGTCACCGTCTCTCTGCTCTGCTCTAGCACCAGGTCTGACAGGTCATGGAGGGAATGGGCACGAGCGAGGGAAGCCTGGACACCCTCCACGCCGTGCCGGACGTGTCCCGCCGTCTCCTGCACGCTGCTGGGGAAGGCCCGGGCACTGGTGGCCAGGTGGGGGGAGCTGGTGCACGAGCCCCCGCAGCATGGCCAGTGTCCGTGCCTCCACCTGCAAGGCACCAGCAGTGGCCCTGGGGAAGGGGTGACCTCTGCCTGGCACAGACTGGACCCCTCAGAGCTTGGGGTCCTCCATGGGCATGGTCACCTGCCTTAGTGTTCTTCACGGGCTTGGTCCTCCACCCCATAGCTCAGTGTCCTCCATGGACATGCTGCTCTACCCCATAGCTCAGTGTCCTCCATGGACATGCTGCCCTACCCCATAGCTTGGTGTCCTCCATGGACATGTTGCCCTACCCCATAGCTCAGTGTCCTCCATGGACATGCTGCCGTACCCCATAGCTCGGTGTCCTCCATGGACATGCTGCCCTACCCCATAGCTCAGTGTCCTCCATGGACGTGCTGCTCTACCCCATAGCTCAGTGTCCTCCATGGACGTGCTGCTCTACCCCATAGCTCAGTGTCCTCCATGGACATGCTGCTCTACCCCATAGCTTGGTGTCCTCCATGGACATGCTGCCCTACCCCATAGCTCAGTGTCCTCCATGGAC